CTCTGTCACCCTCACAGTGAAGCAATTCTTCCTGTCATGGAAATGGAATTTCCTGTGTTTCAGCTTGTACCCATTACCCCTTGTCCTGTCACTGACCACCACGAGAAGAGCCTGGTTTCATCTTCTTTATATTCTCCCCTCAGGTACTTATACATGTTGATAAGGCCCTCTCTCAATCTTCTCTTYTCCAGGCTAAATAGGGCCAGCTTACTTACTCTTTCCTCATAAGATGGGAATTAAGCAGGACAAAAAGGGATTGTACAGAGAACAGGAGACAAATAGTAGAAAGAAAAATAAAAATAATGAAAAAATCTGTAACAGATGAAATGTGGTGGCGAGGACTAGGAATTAGAGCTGTTAGGAGATCTGTATGCAAAATAAAAGGTGTGAGTAGCAGAGAAGTACATCAGTAAACAGGAGGAGCTCTGGCAAGAAAAACCAAAGAAAGTGTGTGGGGTGGAGGGTTGTTCTTTATTTTTTGTTTCACTGTTGGCTAGCCCTATAGCAGATGACAAAATGAAGGTCWGGACAAAAAAGGAAGGACAGATTTGCTCAATGCAAGAGACATGTATGAGAACAGTGTGATGTCAGCATAGCGACAATACATCATGATAACAGTGTTTTGCAAGATAGGACAAAGCAAATATTGAAATCTGTCATGAAGACCTCATACTGTGATTATTTGATAACTGTCAGGACTTGATTGATTGATGAAATGATTCACTAACTCTTCCAAGACTGAAGGTGTCTCTCAAATAATTGTTTCACTGGATGTAAACACTTATTTAAATGTCTAAATAACACACTAAAAGAGTCACAGAAGGCTACTAATATGAACTGAAAAGATTACAGGTTAGATGATCCTGACAGAAAACAGTTTCTGTGTGTAGGTATACTTTAAGCCATAAATGGCCAAATTCTTGTTTTCCCTTCAAGAACAGAACCACTGGACACGTTGTCAAAACTTTCCAAATGAATTTGAGTCTGTATACAGGTTCAGAGCTGTGTCAAGAGCAGCAAAGAAGGACATTGTTTTTGCTGTTAAATTTTAATAATATCCATAACTCATGTACTATTAATTTGGAGATTTTCAATAGTAAGTAGCACCATAGTCTGGGATTATTATGTCACTAAAGCTGGTCTTGGTATTGCTGCTGAAATGGCTCTTATTAAGCTACTCAGAATCATTCAGCTTGATCTTTCTGAAATTTGTTGCCTTGTCACTGCAACCATTGCTCTTTTTAAGGCACTCTAAACTTGCAGAGGGGGAGCAGCATAAAATTTCGCTAAGCCTTTAATTTATATTTTTCTAAAGGAATATAATAACTTGCAATATGAAAAAGGCCAAATAAGCTGTTCATGACTGTTCAAGTCATTGCAAGTATTTAGCAATTTATTTTCACTGGAATACATTCTATATCTAAGGATCACAGGCTGACTTACTGACACCTGGACGTTGACTTACTGACAACTGGCATCTCTGAAGTCAATAAGTATCTTGTTGGCTTCTTGTCTTTTCTTTCTTAAGATTTATATTGTAGACAGAGACTTCCACCTTAGAAGCATTTTAATGCCAATAAGTTGACATTACACAATTATTATTACATTGTTGCACAAATTGATATTATAGATATCTAATAGAAGATAGATATTATCTGCATTTACATTTTTATATCACTATTCTTACACAAATCTATACCACATAAGGGCAGACTTGTAGTCTTGGATGTCCCCTGAAGGAACTAACGAAAGTTTTGAAATGAAGAATGTTTATTGATTTTTTTTTTCCTTAGTATTTTACTTATCCCTTTGAGGTTTAAAATCTGTAGAAAGCTGTTGTAATTTCATCTATTTCTTTCTTATTTTGTGAATTCTGACCTTATCTACTACAAGCATAAAATAGACTTCGCTATCTTACTATTTTCTCACATTATACTATGTCTATCTTGCAAATGTCATTCTTAGTCACACCCAAGACAGCACAACATGAGAGAYGAGATTTATCTCTATAAGAAATAGGAACAAAGCTTTTATGAGTAATATTTTCCTTAGGTGAAAATTGAAATTATTACAATTATTTTGAGTTTTCCTTCCAAAGGGATATCTAACAAAACAGAATTTAAATGGGGAAAATTTAAATGTATAAAATACATATTTTTACAAAGTCATAATTTATGTTGTGGAACTCTGTGCTACTTCAGGCAAATATAGACGCCAAAAACAGGGAACTGCTAAAAAGGGTTTAGTAATATTTAGAAAGAACTATACCAAATAGCAAAACAAGCTCTTCAAAAGAGATACTAAGCCTTCTGTTTCAGGGCCTTCAGCATTTTGATAACTTGATATTATAATCAGGTGGAAAGAAATTCTATCTTAGGAAGACCAAAATTCAGGTAAAGTCCATATGTAGAACCAAAAGAAAAAAAAAAAATCTGTATAGATATAACAGAATGTAATATAGTACAAAAATAGAGATTTTTTTAAATATTAATATAGTATTTATAGTATGTCTTCTCTGCTAGCTTGAAAACAAATGTAGTTGTCAAATGATTAAAACGTTGGACAGACTAGATACTTACATTGTGGGAATGTTTATTCAAAACTGGAAAGTGAAGCACTTACTGCAAGATGCTAAAACCAGTATGCTCAACTTAGGGTAATATATATTCATAATTTCAGAAACATGACCATATAAAATCCCAGCAGGAACAATAATAAAAAAGAAGAATGCTTAATTTATTACTGTTTTCAAGTCAAATTATTATAACATAAACCAGCATTTACTACTTGTTTTATGTTGCTTTGGTTACCATAAACTGAAGACTAAGAAAATACTTAAAATTAGGAAATCACCRGATGCCATTTTGTGTTTTAATGTCTGTTAATGCAGAAATTTCAAAGGACTATAATTATGTTTTTCTTCATTTAAGATATCTGATATTACAATTAGAATAAGAATTTTCAGCCTCACTAAATCATTTCTCACTTTAAATGCAACGAACATTTACAGTACATTTTCTCTGCTTCTTAAAAGACTCAGACCCTTCCTGCTAGGAGAATTTAGAACTTTTTAAAGTTCTTACTTTTTGTTATTTTATAAAGCTAGTCTAATATACTGTGCAATTTGATACCTTTAATTGCTTCGAACAATGTTTTCTATTTTTCCTTAAATTTGTTTTCCATCCTCAGAATATGTGCTTTTTCACTTAGGAAGTCAAATTTCATGGATCATTTGCATGAAGGGGAACTTGGCATAAGTTTCCAAACCCAGATGTCTGGCTTATTATAAATTAACAGATATATTTATGTGTAATTATATTTTTTCTTCTCCTTTTTTTTTTTCCTCTCAGTTACATACATCTTTTTCAGAACAGAACCCTATAAACATCTTGAGTCTTTTTTTTGTACCTGACAGTTACTTTTTATACCTGATAGTAATTTTTGAGTTAAGTATTTTGCTTCACTGAACATTTACGCACACTTCAGAAAGGCAATTACTGCTGCTGGCTTTTCCTGATGGTTCACCTGATTCTCTGTGTGTACCAATGACACAGAAAACAACACTTTTCTTGAACTGTGTCAAAAAATGCTAATTAAAATACACTCCTCATTGTGGGGAGATAGATAGCTGTACAAGGTAACAGCACATTCTAAATGGCTAGATTTTTCTGTAACATAATGCAAAAAATATAACTGACATTACAGAAAGACATTACAGAAGAAAATGTAGTCCATACAACTATATGAGCTTCGAAGTTGCAATATATATAAGCAGATTATTATATTCAAATTCTTAAAGGTAATCACTTCTATTTTCTAATATCATTGAAAAAAATCCCTATTTAATCTAAGCCCACAATATACAAAAGGCGAAGATCAAAAGCTTATTCAGAAGCTCAATCAGTGGAATTACTTCTTTTTTTTTGAGAGAGGTTATTATTAAAATTTATTAGACCTGTAAACATTGTCTTTTATACACATAACAAAGCTGATGTAGCCAAGTATAAGGAAGTTCTTCATAGCTAAGTTAAAATATCCTGAAATTTAACATGTATCATGTTCAGACTGCAATAATTAAGATCTTGGAGGCAAAGTCACTTACAATTTAAAGTTATTCTAGATCTTTTATTTTATATGCTAGTGTCATCAAAGTTACTACAGGTAAAATTTATTTTCATATAAATGGCTTTACATAAGTATTTTATCAATTACTGTCTCCCATCACTGTACCTCATTGTCAACCACACAAAATAAACTGAAAATTTGGCTTCATCTCAGGAAGAATCCTAAGGGTAAGGAACAGCTGGCCTTTAAAGAAATCCTCTGAGTGACAACCAGGGCTTCCTATTGCTTTAGTAATTGGCAAAACATGCATCCAGGCCTGATCACTCTGCACAGTTTAAGACAAAACTCTGAAGCTTTAGGATAAAGAAAATATAACAAAGAGCTATTGTTTTGCCATGACACCTTTTGGCGGTGAAATACACTAAAATTTCAGCATTGACCACACATGTGCATTTGCTTCAACACTTCCATTTAAAATGTGTTTGTTTTTTAAGTCAAATTTTTTTAGAAAAAATTAATATTTCTTGAAGTTCCTCTGAGAACATAAAGTTGAGCTAATTTTTTCTAGGGATTTGGCAAGTGAAACTCAGTAATTATCTATGTTAATAATATCAGATTTAGACTAAATGCCTAGTTCACACAGATTTTCTGATATATTAGCTCTGTAGGGCTAGTAGAAATAAAAAGGAGTGATAATTTCCTGCAGATAAAACTTTGGCATACACACAGGGAGTGGATGTATTGAGTGCTGTATGTGAAGCTGTCTCAATTTTAGTCCTTTTTCTTAATTACTGAGAATGAACACCAAAAAAGGATTGTCATTAACAGGAAGTAATTCAATTGACAGTTCTTCACATTGCAATCCAAAGACTGTAGAAAGTAAAATTAAATTGGTTATTAGGTTTTAATTAGTTTAATTGCAACGGTTTCCTTACCTTCTATTGCTGAGAGTAGAACACGAGAATGGTCATATGCAATTACATTCGCGTATCTATTCTTTGGTTTGTTTACTTCCAGGTTAGAGTGTTCCCATGTGAACTGCTGACCAGGATCGATAGACTTCAAAAGGATAAAGAGAAGAAAAGGAGAGAAAAAATATTAGCTAAGTACTGCATACTTATCATACTCACAATGACACACACCATATGGTCTAACTCTGAAATTATTTTTCAAAGTAAACTCTTTTGCTTTTGAAAGAAATTTACAAATTAAGGACTCATCATAATGCACTATATTGCAGCAAACATTGGATGTTGATGCACTTGAAGGCGTAATGATGAATTTAAACCACATGTTCTCCAAAACTATGGTAATTCTCCTCAGGTTCTCAGGAAGAGGGAGAAGAGTTTTCAAGTAGTTTTGCAATGAGTGGTTCTAGCATGAAAGAGAATGAAAAAAAGTCAGAAACCTTAAAATCACTGTGAAGAGATGGGGAAAATATTTTTGTCTTGCTTTGTTGTTAGGTGCACATTTTTTTTTTCAAAAATTCACAATGTGTCCTGTTCACTAAAGAAAATCTAAATGTTCCTGAATATGTTTTTTTTGGTGTTGTTGCCTTTTTTTTTTTTTTTTTTTTTCTTTTGGCACAATGACAACAAATGACACCAGTGTTGCTTAAGAAACAAACTAAAGGACACAGAGACACACTATAAAGACACTATTTTTATTTCCTTGATTCATGCATTCAGTTGCAAATAGAGATATGTGAAAAACAGGCATATATGAAGTTTTATGATCTCTTACTTATACTGCATGGTCTTAAATCAGTATTTACTTCCTGCCACCTGAATGTTCCAAGGAAGTAGCATAATGAAACTCTTCTTCTACTCCTGTATGCTTCAAGAGCCAGCCAAGTTCAGGCACCACCTCCTTCATTTTATCCCCTTGGGTGAGTTACACATACAGCTAGGCAACTACTGAATAAATGACAGATGGTACATGCTTCTGCCTGCTATGGTACCTGCTATGAGAAAGGTCACCTCATATTAAGAAGTCATGATGAATCACATATTGTTTTACTTTTCCTCTTTGTAAAATTAGAGACTTTAAAGTGTTTCATCAGACTGTATGCATGAGCAAAAACGGTTTGAAGGTCATGTCCTTTGCTTAAATCTAGTAATAATTTGCTTAAACCTAGTAATATACGAGTAATGTCAGGCTGCTCTAAATCTTACAAGCCAAAATACTGAAGTAAAAGACACAACTTTGCCTAGACCAGGTATTTACTTTATATTAGCAACTTGCTCTAAAGAACACAGGAGAAACTCCATATTGGTACTACACAACTCAGACATCATTTACATGACACTGCTGACCCTCTCAGGGTTGGTTATAACAGCTGCAAGTGCATTTTATGTTAATGTCACAGTACAAATGCAAAATGTGTCCTGCAACCTATTACAGAAGGTATTTTCACACAATATACATATGCTAAAATAATTAATTGCATCTGTTTGGGTTTAACACTCAAATTAATAACTATTACTTGTCTAGTCAAAAAAAAAAAAGCTTTTCTATGTATAAATCTCATAGAATGTATTTTACTAACATACAGAGAATGACTTTACTTCCTTCTTAAGCTTATTTCATAAAGATCCATTTTCCCTGCTACCAGATAGTTTGTGGAATACAAAGGTTTTTGATTTAGGAAAAGGCCTCTATCTTATCAAATCAATCACTGCAATCAAATCAAATGCAATAACATTTTATAATAGCATTTTGACTATTTTTTTCCTGAATTTTGATAATTCTTTGAATGGTGAGTTCATAATCTGCTTGGGTAAGGGCCATGCAGAATTAACTCATACTTGGGTTATGACTCACTTGAGTAGCACTGCAATGATGTTAATAACAGTACAAAAGGCTTCATAAATCATTTTGAGCTCAGAATGGTTTAATCTAATTTCTTCTGGCTTCACAAAACTTCTGAGCCCAAGCAAGTTTTATAAACAAAACAAACCTCATCGATTAAAATGAGGGTTCCTAATTTCAGGAACTTGTGGGAGTATGTTTAGATATTACTTTAAGAGTTTTTCAAAACAGATAGTGGCTTTCTTTGGCCTTATTGTAATGAGGTTTTAAATACAGGAAAAACAAAGTGTAATCCATTGGCATCATTATCTTTTCTCATCACACATAGAAATCTGTATTTATAAATAAATCAAGCTATAAAAAGTATATTTCTCTAATGAGAAAGATTTTTGACCACTTTTCATTTGAGCCTGGGAAAGGGCAAAATCATATATAATGATTTTATATATGATATATAAATATATGTATTATAATATACGTAATATGCCTCTTTATCAGCTGAACAACAATTCAGCTACACAATATGACTTTCAGAGTAATTAAATTTACTTAATCAGTCTTTGCAGCAAATATCTCCCTTTTTCACCTTTTTGAGTTAATAGAGATGAGTAAGACAACTCATGCAGGATGCTTGAATGCCAAGATTTTTTCTTTATTAAATTGGATGCCTAATAACAATGCAGAACATAATCACTGTAAATTCAAAACAAGAAGAAAATACTTCCAGTATATTAGTGCATTATACTCTAAATACATTTTAAAATAAAATCAATTATTTGACTATCAGCTATTTTACTATGAATAAGGTGAGTCTGCATTAGCAGTGACTACCTACTCAGAATTTTTGAGGGGTATATATCCAAACATGCTGCTTATGAAGTAGTCCCACTGCCCCAGAATGAGGCAATGGTACTATATTATTTCTGGCTACCTAACTGAAGGAGACAGTCTATCTGATCTTTTATTCTGTTAATTACAGAGTCCAAATATTCTGGAAATTACTTTACAGTATATGATGTTGAATAGACCTTTTTTTTTTTTTTTACAATCAAAAAGAAAATTATAAACTAATAGATTAAACTGGCTCATTAACATAGTACTAGTTTTGTGCCGGGACTGCAGGTCTCCTGCTCCATCCTATCAAAAACGTATATGCACAAAAAAGAAAAAAAAAAAAAAGGCCATAAAGTCTTTATCCTTTTCTTTATGCAAAATCACATCTCCTTATCAGTAAGAGGTTTAAAGTGTGATTTTAGCAGTACAATTGCCCTTGATGATGATCTATCTAGATTTTTCCCCGTTATGAGAAAGGACTTCAGCTTCTTATATACCTATTTGTTGATAATAACTTATAAATTATTAGTAATACTTTAAAGCTTAATTTTACCCACTTAATTTCTTTCTTCCCCTTTTTGGTTTTTAATGTTTGTGTGTATTAAAATGTTCAATAGCAAGAAAAAAATCAAAACCCACTCTCTTTGTCAGTCATTTCCTAGTGGTAGTTGACAATGTATTCTTCACAGCAGCACAGTGTATTCTCTGTACACTTCTTTATGCTGTAAGGCCAGATGTGATAATTCAGTGGTTAATTTCTAGCCATTTTTAGGGATATAGTTAGCAGAAGTCTTGTCAAAACTTGGCGAGTGGGCCTGAACTTTAATATCTACTCTTTTTTCAGCCAATGCTCACCTCATTGTGGCCTTACCGTTTTCCCACAAAACACTGTTTTGGCAAGAAGAAGTTAATCTGTATTTCTTTGGACGTAATAGCCACATTGGAACAAAGGGTAGAGTGGTATTGGCAGACACATTTCAGAAGTGTGAAAGACCAATAACTCATGAATAACAAGTCCGTACTAACAGTTTTAATGAGTGCTTTAATGGTTTAATGGATAGCACTTTAATAGGATTTCCTGTATACTCATTTTGAAAGCTTGTCTTCAGCAAAGCTGTCATTAACAAAGAACTGGATTTCTTCATAGCATAACTGTGTAGTACAGCTTTGTGTGAAAGAAATAAAGATATCTTTATTACCCTCCCATGCGATGACTAATCTTCCAGTTATTGTGTTTTAAATGGTTGGCTGCAACAAAAATACCTGATCTGTTATTGGGAAGAGATTTGAGCAATATTTGCTAATATGATGTGGCACACACAGAACAGTTTTTGAGTAGGTATCCAGATACCAGAAAGCCTTTCCAGGAATAATTGTAAACAATCAGTCCTTCCCAGGCCCCATAAATTCTGTACTTGCACTTTTGCACTGGTTTTTTTTTGGCTAGTTGAACAGAGGCGAATATTGCCAAAGGGTTTTCAGGATTATGTCCTGATGTAGAACTGGGGAAGGAATAAGAACTAAGAAACGATAAACATCCTGGTGTAAATTGACATATGCTGGGCTGCCATGGGGAACTATGCTCATCAAGGTTACCTCTGCTAGCAAATTAAGAGCCAGCACGTTTGAATCCTTGTGGGTCTTGGGAATGGTTAGTTACTGTGAGGGTTTCACAAACACAGAAGGCAAAGGCAGCATGAATTGTAAATTTCCAAGTGCTGTAGGCATTGTATCTGAGGGTCAAATTAAATCATCAGAAAACACAGAGGAATTTAGTACCAGAGAAAGAAGAATAAAAATCTCATGTCTAAGAAGATGTCAATGCAAATAGACTTTGCTCAATGGGAAAGTAGTCAACTACCCATAAAAATGAATAACTTGACCCTCTTTTACCAATGTCAGTGATTGCAGTGAGAATTTCATATCATAGTTGATGAATCTCTAATAAGATGCTATTGTATTATGCAGGAAACTTGCTAATAGAATGAGATTTACATACTGCATTAGCAAAACATGAAGGCTAAATGCATGAACATTAATACATCATCAGGTCAATTTGCCAATGGAATTACATTCTCCTACTAAGACAGAGTTTTTCTTATCACACTCTAAAGACTGTCGCTCTTGAGAGATATAGGGGACAAGCCATTTTTTTTTGAATGAGTAAAATCTTTCATGGAATTCAAGTCTAAGTTTGAATTTTAAAAATCTAAGTAGTAAGAAGARCACTGAGAATGCATAGATGGATGCTTTCTTGTTGACTCTCAAAATAAAGTGATACAACTTTATTCAAGGTGAAATACAGTGTTCAAGGTGAACCACAACTAAAGCTTTTGTCAAACTCCTCTCAAGATCAAGAGATCTTGTATTTCCTCTACAATATCATGTTAATATTCCTATGGGCAAAAGAAAGC